AAGGAGGTGGTTGCCTGAATTCTTGGGTTTCTTTACCCTGCCCCCTCCCAGCTAGCTCCTGCAGTCCTTAACCTGGAGAGAAGAACCAATGGGTCCTTTGGTCCTTCTGTCCTTCGGCCAGTGGGTGGGGTGAACGTGTCTTGTTTGCTAGTGGTTTCCGGGGCTGGCTGAGAGCCAGGCCTTGGGGCCTCCAAGAGCCAAGTCAATCTGACAGCTGGACAGACAGATGAAGACCTGGGGGTCAGAAACTCTACTGTAGGTGTTACTGGTGTCCATAGGGCTGCTTGTGGGGCAAAGCCTGGGTGGCTGGATAGGCGGGGAGATGGCCAAGGGCAGCTCTGGCCCCACCTCTACAACCTCCTTCCCACTTGGCTCCAGCCCCGTGGGGTCCCCCCAGGATGGCCCCTTGCAGCCTTTGCCCAGCACACAACAGCAGATGCCACCTGTGCTCACTGTCACTGTTTGGCCACCATTTTGCAAGTGTTTCCTGTGTACCCAGTGCCATGCTCCTAAATGCTCCACGTGAAGCTGGGCTCTCACCCCAGCCCCCAGGGTGGCCACCAGTCCTGGGAGGACAAGGTAGTTCTCAGGGCTAAGGGCCAGCCCTGGAAAACTGCTCCACACCTGGCCTCCTGGTGCGGGCAGTTTGACCATCAGGGCAGTAGGATGGGAAGCATCTCCACAGGCTGGGTGACAGCTGGCCCCCAGGTCTTCATCTGTCTGTCCAGCTGTCAGATTGACTTGTCTCTTTGAGTTTGAGTTTGCTCATTTCCTGCTGTTCCCACGAGGGGCATGGGATCTGGTAAGAGGCATCCTTCTTTGTCTCTCTGATCCAAGCCCAGCTTGTATGCCTGTGCTCTTCTTGCTGGGGATACAACAATCTGGGCTACCTCCCCAAAGGGCCCAGTCCACAGCCCCTGCTCTCCAGGCACCCCCTGGAACCAGTCCTTATGGGGAGCAGCCTCATGGGAGCCCTGACTCAGGGGATCCTCCGGTTAGAAGACACCTGTGGGTGCCGCAGGCTCAGACAATTTTACCGCCTGCGTGGCCCCAGGTCCTCACACACATCATAGGGTGTGGACTGCCTACTTCTTGCTGTGCCCTCACACGGTAGAAGGGGCAAGGGAGCTTTCTCGGGCAGCTTTTTATAAGGGCACTAATCTCCTTCAAGAGGGCTCCATCCTCATGACCCAATCGCCTCTCAAAGGCCTCCCTCCTAATACCATCGCTTCGCGAGTCATGTTTCAACCTATACACTTGTGGGAGTATACCAACATTCAGTCTAGAGCACCAACTATAAACCGAACACAGCAGCCCCCACAGCTGGCCTCAGGCAGAAGCCAAAATCCCAGCTGGGAAGAGGGGATGATGGCAGGGAGCATCTGGTCAAGGCACAAAGGGGCCAGAACCAAGTGCTGGCCAGGGCGCGTCTCTCCCAGGGTTGCAGTGTTGCCATTTGAGTTGGCCTCAGAGAGGACAGGCTGTGAGTGCTGGGGTTCTGGAGAAGGTCTCCTGTGGGGGAATCTGGCTGTGTTTCTAGGCTGTTTCTTCTGCTCCTTGGGCTGGGACAAAGGAAGGCATTTTTGTCCAGGGGTCAGAATAAGCAGGTCAGACAGATATGCTGTTCAGACAAGCATGGGCTGGACTGTTCTCTGCACAGAGGCAGCAGACCAACTGGACCCTAGGGCGGCCCCAGCACTGGGACCCAGCAGAGGACTGAGGGTGAAGGGCAGGGCCCAGTGGGACACCAGGTTCCTGGCCATGCCAATCAGCCCAGTTTTCTCAGGGTTTTGAAAGAGACTGTGGAAAGGAGTGGTCTGTGAGTAGTTAAGAGAAGACACTGAGAAGTGGAGACAGGAGGGAGAAGACGAAACTTCTGCAGGTTCCTGATGACAGGGCCTTCACATGAACCCCTTTTATTTGAGGGGGGACACAGGGAACCTCTGCACCTTCTCCACATCTAAGAAAGGGTACTAAAAGGAAAGCACCCATGGGGACCCCCAGGGGCCAGCATGAAGTGTGAGCAGAGACTGGAACACAGGAAGCCTGGGGCTTCGGCTTGCCAGTCAGATCTGAAGGTCAAAATCAGAATTCGGGTTGGCCTGCACCCCTCTTTTTGCTCATTTTGCTCAGCCACCACCTAGGGGCAAGGAAGATGTGCAGGAGTCTCAACCTCGGCACACCTGGATGTGCCCACATTTAGCGGTGGTGGTACCACACCTGTGAACTCTGGCAGCTGAGTCATCTCCACGGGGCAGGGCTGAGAGCCTCGAGTTGTGCCTAAAAGGGGCGGGGGGGGGGGGGAGACCAGAGACTCTCTGGTGAACACAAAAGGCACATAAGCAGGCTAGGTGCTGCAGCCAGAAACAGAAACTCCTGGACCGGGAGCCGAGGGTGGGGGCTGGGCTCTGAGGGCCGGGAGACCAGGAGCTGTCGCTGGCACCTCAGTCCGGCAGGGCGTGGGTCTGATATCCCGGGGGGCCAGTGGGGCAGGGCAGAGTAGCTCAGTGGCAGCTCCCCCAAGGAAGATAGCCATCTCCAGGCTGGGGCGTGGCAGGTGGCAGGTGGCAGCCAGCTCCTAGCACACGCCGGGTTTCCTGATTCCTTAGTCTGGTGAAACTGCTGCGGTTTCTGTCTTGGGAGTCAGAGAGAGAAGGGAGAGGAGCTGGCCTGGGTTCAGTTGTCAGGCTGCTCAGAGAAGGTGCCAGCCATGGCCTGACCTAAAGTCTGGAGCTATGGGGATTCTGGGGTAAGGGCCAGCCCCAGAAGTCTCTGATGCTGGTCCTCAGCTAGCATGGGCCTGGGGACAGTTCTCCCATGGCCTCCTGGCAAATGGGCTGGTTGCTGAAGCGGTTTGACTTTTTAGGCCCAAATCTGGACAGACTCGACAGACTTCAAAGAACAGCCTGTACTCCAAAGCCAAGTGTATTTGCTGGTACAGCCCATCTGTCTCTACCTTGGCTTCCAACATCAAACATCAAGGGTCCTTCTACCATCCAGAGTCTCTTCCAGCAATGCCCCAACCCTGGTTTGCCCCCAGGAGACAGCCTACAGGCCAGTCACAGATTTGTAGCCAGAGCCACCACAGGCTTAGGGCTCTGGTCTGTGAGTACTCAGGGCTAACAGTGCAGGCCCGGGGCTATGGGAACTCCTGCAGCTGGGAGAGGAGGGGGGTGATGGAGGAGCAGAAACAAAGGAAAGAGTAAAGCCCTTCCAGCCACAGGCCCCAGCACCACAGCTCCTAGCCATCCAGGATGCCAATTCACAGGCATGGCCACCCAGTTCCTGTGAAGAGATGCCATTCTTTCTTTTTTTAATGATTTTACTTATTTGCGAGAGAATGAGAGAGACAGAGAACATGAGAGGAAGAAACGGACTCCCTGCTCAGCAAGGAGCCTGATGAGGACTCCATCCTGGGACTCCAGATCATCACCTGAGCCGAAAGCTGTCGCTTAACCGAGTCACCTAGGTACCCCCAGAGATGCCATTCTGAAATAAACTGTAAACTCCTCAAGGGTGGTCTCTGACTTGGAATCCTTGGGTCCTCCACTCCAGAGTAGCTGGTGAGCCTAATAAGCACTCTCTACCAGTACCTGGATGGGAGCCCCACCAGCAGGAACTCCCTATAAGCCCCTGCCTGACCGCCTGTGTGAAATGAGGGGTGGGGGGGGCGGTGGGCGCTCCGAGCTGAACAGGGCATGGGCTGGGCTCCCCGCAGCTTTCCCTGGTCAGGCCAGGGAGGGAGGGCAAAGCAGGTGGGGAACTGGCTGGGAGGTGTAACTTGAGCCGGGAGGAATTCCCTGCCCTTCCTCCATGCTTTTATTAAAGTAGGGCGGGGAAGGGCAGGCTTCCATCGGAAAAATCTCCCAGGCTGCCGGGGGAGGTGGGGAAGCCGCCAGGGGGCTGGGAGGGAGCACCCGCCCGCTGCAAATAGAAGGCGCTCAGGCCCACAGCCCGGGCTGTGGGAGGCTCCAGGCTGGCCCAAGGGCACCGAGGCCAGAGCCTACCCCGGTCAGCAAGAGGCGCTTCTCCTCCCACCTGCTCACTCCTGCCTAGTGCACCCCTCTCCTATTTCCCGGCAGGGAGTCGGGTCTTAGAACTCTGGACAGCAGGGACCCAGCTTTTGCTGGGGCGAGGGAGCTGGTATCCTCACTGTCCGTGCCCCGGAGGACGGCGCTGGGTGACCCTGTGGAGCCGACGTGTGATGGTGGGGATTCTGGCTGGACTCCACTCTATGCCCAGGAGGCCGCGCCTGGTCACTCGCGGGACCGATCCGGAGACGGGGCTCGGGAGGGACGTCAGGCGGGCTCCAGATAAAAGCACGTTCGGAGTCTTCCCTCTCCAACCCAGGCCGCGGCGTAGGGGCTCTAGTGGAAGGAAGCGCCGAGGGGAGACAGGGTCTCTCTTGGACCCACCTGGCCGTGGGGCGGCTTCCACGCAAGAGCCCAAGGAAGTCGCCCAAGCGCCTCCGCAAGCCCGAGACTACTGTCTCGGAGGTTCGCACCCCTTCCCCCCTCCCGGCCCGCCACACTCGCGGCTCGCTGTCACCCAGACCAGAGGCTACTGAGGCAGGAGCGCTGCCCGCTCCGCCCGTGGGCCCCCAGGGCCGCCCCCTCCCCACTCGCAGGGAACGTCACGGCGCGCCCGCAGGACTCTCGAGGAATCAGTCGCTCGGGGTGAGGGAAGGAGGGGAGCGAGGGCTGGGGGCAGCAGAAGCGACTCCCGGGACCCGGGCTGGGGCGGATCAGTGCCCGGGGCAGGGCCGTAGGCGTAGAGGGGGTGCGAGTCCTACACTCTCCAGGATTTGGGATGAGGTGCGCTGCAGCGGGCGAGCTGGGGAGGGGCAGCTAGCTTGGCCCCATTCTTCCCCGCCCCCCTTCTCTCGGACCCCGGCTCGTCTCCGCGCCCTCCACCCCTAGCCCCAGGCCGCGGGCGTGGCTCCCTCCCGCAAGCCCCAAAGCCCCCAGCCCGCCGCGGAGGGGCCGGGCGGGGGTCCTTACCTCGGCGTTGACTTCTGCGTCCTCCGCCGCCGCGCCGCGGCCCAGGAAGCCCAGAAGCACCAGGAGCAGCGGCAGCAATCGCGGCCGCGCCGCCGCCTCCCGGCCGCCGAGGACACTGACCGCCCAGCCCCGCCGTCCGGGCGCGCTCCGGTCGCTGCCCATGCTCTCGGCGTCTCGCCTGGCCCGGCGCGCTGCGCGCAGGGCTCGCCCGCTGGCCGGCGCCGGGGCCCCGCACGCGGTTCGGAAACTTGCGACGCTCCCTGGCTCCCCGCCCGGCGGGCGCGCGGCAGACCTCTCGGTCCTTGTCCCCTCCGGAGACGCTTAGGTCCCCTCAGCAAATTCCCACGCCCGAGGAGAAGCCGGCAGGGCAGGTCCGGGCGCGAGGGGCCGGCCCGCGGGGGAGGTGGCCGGCCGGAGCCGCCCGCCGCGGGGTCCCGCAGCCTCGGCGCCCGGGGCCCGGCTCCCGAAAGCTAGCGCAACTCCTGAGCCTTTGTCTGGCTCAGCGCTCCGGCCGCCCGGTCCCGCGGCGCCCCCTGCGCGCCCAGCTCCCTCTGTCCATTCCCGGGGCCGGGTGCTGCCCAGAGCACGCGCCTCCCGCCCGGGGACTCTACTCGCCCCGCGCCCACCCGGGCCCGGGTCCCCGCGCAGTCCCGGGAGGAGGCTCAGGGAGCCGGTCGGAGCAAGTGAGCGAGCCAGGGAGCCGGCGCCCGACGTCCCCGGCGAGTTCGGCGCAGCTCTGGGCGCTCCCAGCCCTCCTCCTCGCGCGCTGCTCTTAAAGGGCCAGTGCTCACTCCGTGCGCGGGCCCGAGCGGGGGCCGGGGGCGGTACCTCGGCGGGAGGGCTACTTGGTAGCAGGTGCCGGCGGTGGAGTCCGACCAGGCGGCCCTCTACTCTTTCCAGAAGGAGTGAATCCTTCCCAGCCCGCCCCTGTCACTCCCCCGGCCTTTGGGGAAAAGGGGTTGGGCCCCCCCCCCCCCGCCCCGCTTCCTAGCAACCCCCTAGAGAGAGGGAGGGAGCAAGGAGGAAGAAAGACTCTTCATTCTCCCACCTGGCGGGTGTGTAGGGATACTAAGGCAACGGAGGGCAGTAAGGGGGGTGGGGCGAGGGCAGAGGGACCCAAGTGTCCTGTCGGGAAAAAAGCATAAAAATCTAGCGGCTTGTTGGCCCCTGGGCCTTTTCAAAAGCCTCAGGATGCCACTGGTCGTTGAGTGACCCTCCTCGGTTGCGTTTGCAAGAGCACAGGTTTCACAGGGAGGCCGTTGCACTTTTCGCCTCTTACCTGCTGCCTCCATGTCTTTATGTGGAATGTGGGGCAAAGGGCTGCTGAGGGTTGGGTATGCTTCTGCTGTCTCCACACTTTAGCTGTCCAAGCAGAGCATACTGCTTCATGCAAGTAAAACACGGCAGTTCCACAAGGTGATGGGGCCAGTGGGCAAAACTTCCATGGAGCTGAGCTGAAAGCGCTAGGTTTAATCCTACTCGGGAGCAGGCTATCTGTGTGGATGCAGAGGGCCTGGGGTGGGGAGAGGCCTCCGTCCAAAGTCCACAGAGACTGTGAATCCAGACCAAGGGCAGTTCTGGCCGCACAGACTGGCCCCAGGGTCATGAGGTGAATACTCCAGGGGTAGGGCAGGAGGGTGGAGACCTTCCCTCTCCTCTGCTACTTCCCAGTACTGGGAATGGGAATTTTCCCTACCTGAGGGTGAGTTTCTCTAGAGTAAGCCCTGGGGTGGCCCAGCCTGCCTCACCTCCCGGAAATGGGCAGAGAGGCGCTGAGCTTGGAAATGGCCTGTTGAGAGACCTGGCAGGTAAGGAAAAAGAGCACTGTGAAAGAAAACAGAAGTTAAACTGCCTATGATAGATTTTATTAAAAAAAAAAACAAAAAACTATTGCAAACAAAAACCCAAAACAACAACAACAAAAAACTATTGCAGTAGGGGAAGACAGATTCTGGTATAGAACTGGACCCAATTCCAAATATGACCTGAACAGGGGGGATTTATAGCCAATAAGCAAGTGGAGTGGGAGGTTGGAGGGGTGTTGGGGAACTTTCTGGCTAAAGATATCACCTGGTGTGTGTGGGGAGGTGTTGTAGGGATGCCTATTGTGATAAGATCTCAGACTGGGAAATTCTAAATAAACTGATTTAGCAGGGTTCTTGCTAAACTGGATTCTAGAAGGAAGTACACAGAAAGGCCTCCTTGGGGAGAAGGTTTCGGGGGATCCTGACTAAAGTTTGGTCAAGCAAAGAATCTTTGTCAGTCTCCCCCGCCCCCCTTGCTCAAGTGAAGAAAAGAAATTCTTCTTTCCTCTGAACAATGTTAAGTCCATTTCTTAGGTGGTTGCTTTTAATCATTTAGAACCTTGGTGATAGTAGATAATGGCTGTTCAATACGAGACACAAGACCTTTAATGAGAGGAGTACCTTGAAGATAGGTAGATGAACACTGGAGACGGAATCGATATGTGTACCCAACTTCACAGACCTTCAGAGATCTACCAAGGAAGGACCTATTGTCCTTCCTTGGTGGTGTGAGTTAGAATGGCAGTGAAACATTTCTTCCTTCACCTCTTGAATCTTCCTGGTTACGGCAAAGATGTCCGGTAGAATGTTGGGGTTGAAGATGCACTCCTTACTTCCTTTTTTTTTTTTTTTAAGATTTTATTTATTTATTTATTTGACAGGCGGAGATCACAAGTAGGCAGAGAGAGAGAGGAGGAAGCAGGCTCCCCGCTGAGCAGAGAGCCCGATGCGGGCTCGATCCCACTGGGATCATGACCTGAGCTGAAGGCAGAGGCTTTAACCCACCGAGCCACCCAGGCGCCCCGCACTTGTTACTTCTGACCACTGGGCAAGTGCCCTCCTTCTGTAACCAGGGTCCTATGGAGAATGGCTAGCTGGGTTTCTTGTAGTTAGCCAGTCTCTGATTCGAGACCCACAGTGGTATTACCCAGGGACAAGGTTTCAGCAATGAATAGATGATTGATTCTGTCGTGGAATCTAACTTTTTGAGCCAGGTGATAAATTCCTAGGGTTGGTACCTAAAAAGGTGGCACACTCCCCCCCAACCCCCGCAAAGTCAAGAGGTCCTGGATGGACACAGGCCCAGTTTTGTGGCTGTTTTTTCCACCTCACCTTCCCAGGAACGGAGATCACCTATAGGAGGATCTGGGATGTCGTTCTTTTCTTTCTTTCTTTTTCTTTTTTTTAATTTTTAATTTTTTTAAGTTAATTTTTTTTTAATTTTTAATTTTTTTTATTAACATATAATGTATTATTAGCCCCAGGGGTACAGGTCTGTGAATCGCCAGGTTTACACACTTCACAGCGCTCACCCTCCCCAATGTCCATAACCCCACCACCCTCTCCCTACCCCCTTCCCCCCGGCAACCCTGTTTGTTTTGTGAGATTAAGAGTCTCTTATGGTTTGTCTTCCTCCCATTTCATCTTGTTTCATTGATTCTTTTCCTACCCCGCAAACTCCCTACATTGCCTCTTAACTTCCTCATATCAGGGAGATCGTATGATAATTGTCTTTCTCTGATTGATTTATTTTGCTAAGCATAATATCCTTTAGTTCCATCCACATCTTCGCAAGTGGCAAGATTTCATTTCTTTTGGTGGCTGCATAGTATTCCATTGTATATATATACAATGGGGAATATATATATTCCCCATATACCATATCTTCTTTTTCCGTTCATCTGTTGATGGACATCTACGTTCTTTCCATAGTTTGGCTGTTGTGGACATTGCTGCTATAAACATTCGGGTACACGTGCCCCTTCGGATCACTACATTTGTATCTTTAGGGTAAATACCCAGTAGTGCAATTGCTGGGTCATAAGGTAGCTCTATTTTCAACTTTTTGAGGAAACTCCATGCTGTTTTCCAGAGTGGTTGCACGAGCTTGCATTCCCACCAACAGTGTAGGAGGGTTCCCCTTTCTCCGCATCCTCACCAACATCTGTCATTTTCTGACTTGTTAATTTTAGCCATTCTGACTGGTGTGAGGTAGCATCTCATTGTGGTTTTTATTTGATACCTCTTGTTCTTATAGTGAGAGCGAGGTGACCCTGAGGGAGGGCATGGTTGTTTTAGAGAGAATTTATGAATGCAAGAAGATTACAGGAAATAGAGTAAGATAAAGAGATTTTGGGGGCACCTGGGTGACTCAGTGGGTTAAGCCTCTGCCTCCGGCTCAGGTCATGATCTCAGGGTCCTGGGATCAAGCCCCACATCGGGCTTTCTGCTCAGCAGGAACCCTGCTTCCCCCTCTCTCTCTGCCTGCCTCTCTGCCTACTTGTGATCTCTCTCTGTCAAATAAATAAATAAAACCTTTAAAAAAAAAAAAAGGAATTCTTAAAAAAAAAAAGAGAGAGATTTGGTAAGTTTGATAGGTAGCAAGGTCCAGTTGGCAAGGAACAGCCAAGAAGCATGGGTTCCCCAAAGTCAGAACCATCGGGAATTAGCCAGGGGTCATAGAAATAACCATCTGGTGGCTGAGGATAACCAGAAAATGCTGATTTTGAGGAGAGGGAAAGCTGTATCTGGAGGTGGTTTCTGTGTCATTGGGCTGGGTCTGAGAAAGGAGCTAGGAGGTGCCGTGGGGACATTTCCATTCCCATGAGGGATCTCCAGGGAACCCTGTAGTGGCCTGGGGCTTTTATGCTGGATTTAGTGCTGGTTTGGGAAGTGTAATGATAAATGTGCATTCTCAGAAGAGGGCCTGTGGTAAAATCACAAAGGGAAAGACGAGACCCTTGTGAGGATGGACTGGAATGGGTGCGGGGTTTTCTCACAGGGCTAATCACCTGGGTTAAAACGGTGGAGGGCAAGCTGCTTCCCTTCCTTGCTGTACATTTAGGGTTTTTCCAGGCTTGTGTTTCTGGCCGTTGAGGCCAGGGGCAATCGCTTGGTGCAAGTAAAAGCGTAAGAGTCCGAACGACTGTTCGTGTACTATACCCTGCATTTTGTCCTTTTCCGTGTGAGCCGTGTCAAATAAATCACATAAGGTGACTCAAGAGATGAACCCGGGGACTGTGGAGCAGCCATCTTGGTGTTTCTAAAGTCCATCTGAGTGGCTTAAATACACAGCTTTCCCCATCCAGTTCTTTCTAAGTCTGAAGCTACCATTTGGGCCTTGTGGATTTCTTTTAT